ACCTATGATCGAAGGTAAGCAACCTATGAATATCTTCTAATCTGACTGGCCATGTTTCACAGCCCTAAAGTAGGACGGAGCGAACTAATGCGCACAGCAAACTCTTCCTTTAGTCAGCAAACGGATATCTCACCTACGCCATAAATGATGCAGTTTGGCAAAAGCCGATCGAGCTTTCTATATCCGTGCTGAGATTTCGTCAAACACTAGGCAATCAGCACTGATGGGACTCCCAATATAAGTAAAGTGGTCAACATGTTCAACTACTACACTCCCTGTCACTAGTTCAGGTGCCGATACATGCTGATCATGAAGCAACGGTTTGCATTTAGACGGGCAGAATCGCATCCCGAACATACTTGCATTGTTGCTTAGGGTGGTCAGAAGACTGCATTTTGTCAGCGTCTTCACCAAGTAGAACTATGTCATCGGCATATTCTAGGTCAGCAAGCGATTTTCCTGGTAGAAGGTCCACTTCCGAAAATTCAGACGAAGACAATATTGTATCTAGAAGCATATCTATGACAGAATTAAACAAGAACGGAGGACGGACACCACTTGAAGTAAAGAATTCTGATGATAGTTCACCGTAAGCTCTCACTCAACCAGTAGTTTTAGAGTAGAGAGCTTGTATAAGGTTAATGTACTTCTTTGGTACACCTTTCAATGACAGACAATGCCACAGAACTTCACGATCCACAGAGTCAAATGCCACCTTAAGGTTCAGGAAGACAACTATTGTAGGACGCCTAAATGTGTGTCTGTGTTCCAAGACCTGTCGTAGTGTGAAAATGTGGTCTATACAGCCACGTTCAGGTCGAAAACCAGCCTGATTTTCTCTAGTCTGCTCTTCACGAGCTCTAGTTAGGCGTCTAGGTATGATCTAAGCTAACAATTTAGAAACTATATTTGTTAGACTAAGTCCCCTGTGATTGTCATAAGAACTTTTGTCCTTTCTTGTAAATTGGGACAATCAGGGATTGAGACAAGTCGGATGGGATTACGTTCAGTTCCGTCATTCTACTTAACACCTCAGTCAATCTACCTGCTGAAACTGGACCACCATCCTTAAAAATCTCAGGGGTCAATCTATCAGGACCCGCTGCTCGTCCTCGCTTCAGATTTTCTACCGCTTTCTCAACTTCATAGAGTCGGAGGGCGTATGTCGATCTTCCATTCAGCATGACTGGAGATCGAGGGAAACCGAAATGTAGTTGAAGGCCAGTTGAACTGATCCCTGGAGTATTCTGCCCATCGATCCAACCTTCTGGATTGAGAATGAATAATAATCCCATTCTTTTCTGAGGTAGTCTCACAGTTGGATCCCTAATACCTGCTTCCTCGGTGAGTCTGAATAGTTGTCTACTGTTGCCTATCGCCGTTACCATTTCCATTGCTCTTGCTTTCTTTACCCACCACTGTTCGCGGTCGCTGCGCTCCAATATGTGATTCAGTACGGGGTTTCAGGAGACCAGGAATAATGTTTTGTGAGCTCGAACCGTTCGCTTCAGCCGCGCGAGGTGAAAAACGTTCCGAAGGAAGAGTTGGTCGAAGAGATAAGAGAGTTATTAGGAGGTGAGGTAAGGATTTGATTGTGACCGATTTGGTCTCATTTGCTTTTATGGGTATTAAGGCTGATGTTACTTCCCGGCTGCTCACACTATGGAAGGGTTCTGGTTGTCAGAAGGGGCATCGGCCTCATAAGTTTCGAAGGAACTTGGCTTTCATCATGAGACGTCACAACTCTTCTAAATGAAGACTTTGTAGCTCCCAGAGCAGAGTTTGTATGGTTCGAATTATTTTTTCCTGTTAGCGTTTTCGTTGGCAGGTTAGTTTTCTGCGGGATGTAGTCTCCAACCCCAATCTCAATCCTCCTTCTTCATCCGGGCTTGGAACCAGCAGTAGCTCTGAAGTCTACAGGCGGAGTTGATGCTGTTGTTGTATTTCGAAAATGAAGAACGGAATGACACAAACAAGGAGTTGTACTGATGCTTTCCAAAGAAGCTCAAAAAACAATCATACGATGGGAATCTAATGGACCTAGAATCATCAAAGCATCTTTCAAAAGGAAGAAGGAGGGAATTACCATGGACGTTATCCAGTTCTACACCCACAAACCATGGCAGAAGATACGACAAAGACCAATTTTACGAGAGGCAGTATTCAAAAGTAGGGAAATGCTTCGTGGAGAACCTGACATTTTTGGTTGGAGGTCTAAACACGAATGTTTGGATAGACGATATCGAATATAAAGACATAATAGATCAGTATGGACTGGGGGAAAGGGACGAAAATGTTGAGAGATGAGCAAACCTATGTGCCTTTAACAAACTAGTTGTAAGAGGCACTAGATTCCCACATAAATGCATACACAAAGCTACATGCATTTCGCCAGATCACACTACACAGAACCAAATCGACCATATCCGCATCAATAAAAAGTTCTAAAGGATCATAAAGGAAATGAGAACAAAGGGAGGAACTAATATGGCCACAGATCATCACTTGCTGGTAGCCAAGATGAAACTGAAACTTAAGAAGCATTGGAAAATGGGCAAACAGCAATACAAAAGTTTAATGCGGCCTTTCTTCGGGATACTGGCAAGCTCAAAGAATTCAAGATAACTCGCAGCAATATGTTCCAAGCCGTTTACGATCTGTTCAATGGAGAGGAGACTACCATGGAGAACAACTGGAAAGGAATCGAAGCAGCAATTACTTCGGCGTGTCATGAGGTTCTGGGCCACTAGAAGCATCAGCAAAGAGAATAGATCTCTATCGGTACACTAGATAAGATTGAAGAAAGAAAGAACTACAAAATTCCAATCAATAACAGCCTAAAAAGAGCAGAGAATGTCAAGGCACAGGTCCAATATATAGAAGCAAACAAGTAAGGTAACAGGATTATTAAAGCTGATAAACGGAAATATGTGGAAGACCTACTAGCAATAACAGAGAACATGGCTGCAACAGAAAGAAAAAGACGACTAGACACGACAGTTAAGAAGCTTGCTGGAAAGTAAAGTGAACTAGAACAACTAGTCAACAACAAAGAAGGCAAATCAGTCCCCGAGATCGAATAACCGAGAAACAGGTTCGTAGAACTCTGTGCAGAATTCTTGAAAAGACCAACCATACTCAACCCACATAGCATCCAAATACTGCCTACAGACTTTCCAATAAACCTCACTTCAGCAACAGTGAAGGAAATCGGCACGACCCTCAGATAAATAGCGATAACGCAGCATGGTTAGATAACACATGAATTGAGACACTAAAATTACATATAGAAGTGACTGCAAGCATTATCCACACTCTGTTCAACAAGATTTGAATGGAATTACGAGGTGTAAATAAGTCGAAAACAATAAAACCTCATAAATATAACAAAGGAACGAGAATTTAATAAGTGTGAGAACTATAGAGGTATCACTCTATAGGGTGAGAGGCAAAATGTTTAGATAGAACACAGTATGCAGCAACTTAAATCATAATTGATGGGGATGCTTTGGACGATATGAAGCCGTTTACATACCTGAACAGTATAATTGAAAAGCGAGGTGGATCTGATGCGGAGGTGAAGGCAAGAGTTGACAAAGCAAATCTAGCATTTCTACAGGCGAATAAAATCTGCAAGCCAAAACAACTGTTGATCAGCCAACGCAAGAGTCAAAATTTTCAACATGAACGTCAAGGCAGCCATGTTGTATGGAGCAAAAACTTGGACATCAATCAAAGCCATCATTCTGAGGATACAGGGATTTGTAAACAGTTGTCTCAGCAAGATGGTAAGGATCCGTTAGGCAAGAACCTCCTATGATAGGGGAGGACACCACTTCCAGTTTAGAATCCAGTGACGTCACGAGCCGAACCCTAACTCACGATGCTCAACGCCAAAGGAAAAGAGAGAAACTAAAGAACATATTGTTGGAAAATGGAGACAGATATGAAAAGAATGAATGAAAAGAACAACTGGATAGAAGAGCCCAGCACAGATTTTGTTGGATATTGCTAGTCGTTGTTCTATGTTTTACGAGTATCATCCAACTTAATCTTGACTTGAAAACCTACTGCAAGGATTAACACAGTTCAATTGAGCTAATATCTTTATAATTGAATAATGGCCTTAAATTAGTTTTTAACATCTTGATTAGTTCAAAATACTTTACCAAGGATATCATAATTGGTGGTATTTGTGGATACACACAAGAGAAATTTATGACTTACTAAAGGGTGTAGGATCAGATGGAATTTGTTGCTCCCCAGGTTGTTTTTAAACAATTACTCAATGTGACCGCATCTCTGTCAGCGAATGATTTTGGAAGAAAACTCAGTCATAAGCAGTAAAAAATGTATACAGCTAGTCGACTAAAAGGCTAGCTAAAATGAATATCCACGTTCTAAATGTATTCACCTTGATTAAATTTCCAGTTGTTATTGTTACTCCTCAACTTAATTTGAATTTGGTTACGTTGTAATCCCGCATGTTTTCTACTCTACTTCAAACTCTAACCCAGACTTTTCAACAGACACTTAAATAAAGGAAAAACCTTATGACAAACATAGCCCAAAAAGTATGTACTCAGATACAATTTATTTACAAATGTTAAAATGTAGACAGATGGTTCAAACTTATGAATTGAGACCAATGAAATATAGACAAGTAAACAGTACACTACTAAAATACATGAGTCCGGATATGTAAATATTGTAAATACTTTCAAAAGAATTAACTTCCTGAATCCAAAAGCATAGTGTGAAAACTAGAATACTGATAAGTTGGTACAGCATAACAGTCCGTTGAAAGTTTTATAAACCATGGTTTAGTAACCACTTAAATAAGCAACAACAAACTCTGATGACAAACGACTCGTATAACAACTATTCAGTATAAATTCGAAAAATAGTAGTCAATAACGCGATTTGCATATGATACACTTCTAAAGTACGAAAAAGCAACAGTGAAAAATGAATTTTTTTCAAAAACTGAAATTACCTACCTGATTTTTCAACTTGCGAGTATTTGAATGATATTATATATACGAAATCATCAGACAATGACTTATATAAGAATTTCGAAAGCCTGATTCGACAATCAATGCATAGGACATAAGAAATGTTATACAGGTTATTTTCAGAAAGTCCGAATTTTTTTTATTCAAAACCCCAATGTCTTAAGCTATCCCGTCAATTTGTTTACAAAGTAACGTACAGTTTTACAAATGAGCCAAGGTCTCACGTTTGAAAAAAGGACTCTAAAATACTCCAAATCTTTTTTTATAGTCATATTTTGTTAGGGAAACTAGTGAAAAATTTTATTGTTGGTTTCCAGCGTTGTCATGACAAAAAAACGCGAATTTTTAAACTTACCCAGTTGACCTTGATTTATGTTTTCTGTAAGTTCTGATATCAATGAAAGTTTTTACCACATAAAACTTCGATTCGTTTTCTTCCTTCCTGAGCCACTGCTGATTTAAATAGATTGATCTTAATTGGATGAAACTTGCAGGGATTTATCTTTGAATCGTAATTTCACATTTGTGCGATTGAGTGGCTTAACTAATATAATATGCTTTTACAAAAGATACTGAACCTAACCTTTAAACTTAGCTCACGAACAAGTGCTCTGTAACGAAAAACTCTCCGAAAGGTAGTTACTACTAGATTTACAAACAGAATTAACAAATGCTTCTTTTAACTGTATATAAGGGCGCTAAAACTCCTCAGATGTATTGGTTAAAAAATATCTCAGTGTTGAACCACCTTTCTCTTAGTAAGGTAACACAAGAAGTACATAGCAAGAATTTTTTCAAGTTAGAACTTATGAATTAAGTAGAAGTCAGTATGAGTGAAAACAGGCGGGGATTCAAGCATTCTCAATCAATAACGGATATGAAAAATCTTTAAAGGGCATATCGATGAACCAAATGAACATAAAGGCAAGGCCGAAACACCTATTTGATCTCTTTTTATGTCGAAACACTATTCTGAGCATATTTTCATTAATCTTTGTTGAGAATCATCGACCTTGAGAATCGTCCGTAATGATCTATCTTATTTACCGTGTTCTCTCACTTATTTATTGAAGACTGAGTGAGTCCATCTGTTTAAAAGCCTCAATTTCGGTGCATTGCTTTGGGTTGATACGGCTCCATTATTGTTTGGCAAAGCTCCTTACTATGACAGAAAAGAGGGAATAGTCTTACTGGTTTGTTGTGTAAAACAATACGATTAGTTACGCTAAGTAGGAGCATTAGCATCGAATGTAGTATCTGAACTTGTAATTTTATATCTGAAGACGAACAAGCACACACATCGAAATTTATCGCTTTGAATTAGGATTATTCGCACAAATAAAGAACGAACAATTTTCATTTTTGTATCAATACCACGTCCACCACAGTTTAAACTGTAGTCTGGCTTTCTGTTATTTATCGTGCGTCTACACCAATCCTTCTTGATTTATCTGCTCTACGTAAGTAATAAACAACAGTACTTTTACTTGATCCGCTACGCAGACATTTGTGTTCGTATGATCGAGCGCATGTTTGCAGTTCAATTCTTTATCGATACTCTAATTGGTTATAAGCATGGACAATCGATTACTTTATTCACGTGTTACTTAACTCTCGTATTCTTGTGAGTTCCATTAATTGTTAATGACAAACAAGACTCTAATAACTGGTGTTCCTGTTTTCTAATACTTCCCACGTAAATTTATAGTAATACTAGGAGAATTAGTCGGCTCAAGTGCACCACTAGTGGGACAATATTCCTTAGTCAAAAATGTGTTGTGGAGTTGTCGCTACACGTCTTCCATATAATACATTAATGAGCACTAGTGCATTTGTTAGAATTATTCTCCGAATTAGCTGGAATACTCAAACTAGTATGAGAATCAACAATAGAAGCCAGAAAGAGCTGACTACGTTCCATGGGATCACCTTCCGCCAGTGTGACAATCACGTAAACGAACCAATATTATGTAGCAAACATCTCGTGGATTTTTAAAAGTTACTTGATAGTGTGACATCAGCAAACGTCTATCTGATTTTTAGTTCATTTTAACAAGTGCCTTGTCTAAACCAGTGTGTGACTTCTGGTTCTAACAATTTCTAATTTGTTCCTATATTAACCGTGGATGCTTCTTAATGTATAGCAGTTCACTTTTCCCATCTTGGATTTATAAATTTCCATATCTTTCCTTGTTTGTGACCAACTTTCTGTTTTCCGCTTACTTTTATCATCTTTTTACTGATAATTCTAAGCCTATAACATCAGTAAGCTGAACTAATTGTTTTCTATTGTGATTATGTTAGTTTTATTTTCGGAAAGACAGGGACCTAGGTAGCGCGTATCGATCCTGATGAGTCTGTCATCTAATTCTGATAAATTCACTATCTACATCACGACCGAATACAAACCGATTGGAATTTTAGAGCTGGTTTCTTGTTGTTTCAGTACATTTCCAGATACTTAGTAATATCCAATTGGTGGTAGTCTAGCTACCCAACTGCACTAAGCTTGTTAATGTTGGCAGTCTTCCGCGGATTTGTATGTCTTTTGGCTTGAGTGAGTGTGTTCGTGTCAGGAAGTAAGGTTTCCAGGTACAAGTAACTATCGTATTACCAAGGCGGGAGTCATTTTCTTGCAATGTTTAAAATGACAAAGAGAAAATTTTAGAGCTAAGGAGCAGACAAATGTTTCAAGAGCCAAGTAGAAAAATTAGTTAATTGGTAATGCTGATAGCGTGAGAATACTAAATTATGTGATGAAAGAGGAAACAGATGATATCAAGCTAGATAGAACAACGGAAATGATTAGTTCATGTGTGAGTGAACGTTTGTAAAATCTGCTCTTTAATTTGTAGACTGAGGAGGTCGTGGTCACTTCCAGTCGGATGCAACTCTTCAGGAGAAAAATATGTATTATCTCTGGGCTTTGCTCTTTAATGCGCAGTTTTATGGGGGTCATCTCTAGGGCGTGGTGGTGATTTTCTGGTACGATGATCACGTTAGAGCGAATAGGTGTACATAATATGTTCTCTGTCACTATCAACTCACCTGTTATTCTCCTGTAACTCAACGGGAATAATCCCGTGTATTGGAGTCTGTCTTGTTAGCCTCTTAGTTGTCCATCTCTGCACTTAGTCAAATTGGTTTGTTTTTTTTAACGAGGAAATGAGAAAATATTGTAGAATTCAAGGTGAAGCCGTTCGTAAGTTTTAAAAGGAGGGACGAATCTGAGGCAATCATGCCAAGTTATCATCTGTTAGAGTGAAGAGTTTCATTTGCTTTGGCTTCATTCTTGATAAAATTTGAGTTAGTATCCAAGTCTTATGTGGTTACTTACCCGAGATGGCTCCCTGTGGGTATATTTCGGATCGAACTCCCATGAAGGATGTAAGTTGTTTGTGTCACGTGAGGCTGGACTTTAATGACATGACATTTCAATTGGTCGAGTTTTAACTAACTGTCCTCTGACTATTCCTCTATTGTTGTAGGGTCATTCTGAAGCTCAAGTCAATCCATTCCACTTCTTATGGACCTTCAGATCTTTGCGTAGTGTGCATAGATTAGTGCCGCTGAGCTAGTTTTACATAACAGATGATAGATAAATATCAGGAAAAGGAGTGAACCTAAGGTGCTAATCTAAGACGTGGTAGCTCATACTGGCTCTATTACCTTACTACATCTCACTTGTGTTGACGTAGGAAGTTATTAGTGTTTAATGCTCCATAAGAAAGTGATAGCCAAGTGGCAATAACATGCCCTGAGTTTGTTAGCTGTTTTGGTATATCACCAATGAGATTCTATTCTGGAAGATACGAACAAACGCTGGTATTTAAGACTCCAGATTACATATTCTGCTTGAAAATCATTCTTTCAGTTATTCCTGATGCTTCTGTGTGACAAAAGAATGAGCTTTGCGTAGCCAATCTCTCGTTGCATCGTAACTGGGAATAAGATTATTTGCTATTCTTTAAAGCTTTCAAATAACTCACTTTTTCTTCTCATTTTGATTCCACGTGCGTACAGTGCATAACACAAAAGAACCTTTTCATCTTTCTCAACTATAAGAACAATCGCTTACTTCCATAAACGCGATTTTAGAGTTCTAATTACTTGCCTACCGGACTAACAACCCTTGAATCTAGTTTTTCAGGTGAAGAACTTATTTTCTGCTTTGAGAACACTATCATATAAAGTCAAAACACTTTTGTCATATATACTTGTTCAGCTTGAATCTTTGATTTAAAATAGCAGGATAAAAAAACGCTAAGGATTCTGAAAGCTTTCACCAATAACTATGCAAATACTATGTCAAAATCATAAGAACAAGTATTCAAATGCAAAATGTGAAATAAATCCCATTTATGTCCAAAAAAGTTGCAGTCCTTACTTACTTACGCCTGTTACTCAATAGAGCATAGGCTGCTTACCAGCTTGTAGTCATAAGTCTTGTGAAAAGTGTAGCCGTATATGTCCAAAAATCGCTTTTCGTTTAATCCATTAAATTTTATCAACACTTTTAACGACTATAGAATTTCAGAATTACAATGAGAATATAATTTTTTTTCGTTTTTTTTTATAGCACATAATCATTAACATTACCGTCAAACTTTGAAGTTGCTTAAATCACGACTTTAAAAGAGTGAAACAAACATTCGTTATGAAAAGAAATAGTGATTTATCGACAGAATTGAATTTAGAAAACTTAAAAGAATTAGAGCCAACTTATGTAAAATGTTTGCAAAATAAACCAACACCAGCATCAAGTTTTATAAGTAAAATCATGAGAATGGAATATGAATTAGATAAAAAGTTAGCTTTTTGTGCAAATTTGTTAAAGTTTGTTTTTGAATTAATAATCTTGTCTATTTACTTGCTTCATGTTGTACACTTGAAAATAACATGAATAACTAGTTTTTAGATCATGTATCATTGTCTACTAATAGTAGACAAAAAGAACTAGGATTTGGAACTAATTGGTTCAGTTAACATTATCTAACACTTAAAAGCTATCAGTACAACAGACCATTCTTACTTAATGGTTGCTTAAGGTACTTATTATCAACCAGTTCTAATATAGCTTCTGCCACCATTCAAATAATGAGGAGTTTAATCATGTATGAGAATTCAGAAAAAAGTACAAGAGCACAGACAAATACAAAAATATCATAGATGAGCATAATATTTGCAGTCCAAGTAATAAGAAGCGTTCACAAAATTTGGTATTTATCTTTAACCACTCAGTAAATCATAAAGCTTTACCAGAAAATGAGTCCACGTCACCTCGTGCTGCGTTCATACTCAATGTTATCCACCGAGACTTTGGAGTTAGGTCCCTCATCTGAAAGGTCTAGCTTTTTCCCAGACATTTCCCTAGAACGGACCAAAGCCTCATAAAATTTGGCTTTTCCCGCTATACTGCCATGATTGCGGGCGCCTGGCGCTGGTAAAATCTCATTGGGATTCTTCCCTTCGTTTTGAAGGATGCTTTGATGAATTCCTATTGACGGTAATAATGCAACTGCTTGTGTCTGTGGAGGCATTGGTCTCATGGATCCTGAAAATTCTAAGCCTTTGTCACAAGCTATCATAAATCTTTTCAATATGAACTCTAGAGCAAAGTTGAAAAGTGTTTTCTCCCAGTTGGCAGCGTAATGAGTCATTCTCATTCGTCGCTTTCATTCATGTGTGTGCATGTCTGTCTCGCTTGTCACAGGTCTTATATTTGTTTGACTATAAATTCTTAGTCATGCTTTATCTCTTGGAGTTGGCTCACTAGCGTTCTCACTTCACTTTATTCTCCGATTCGTCAATTCGATTGCTTGCCTTCCGGCACTCTCATGTCTGCTGTTCTAATTATGGTGTGTAAAGGTAAACGTATTCATCCCCTCGTGTTTACCTTCTGATTTATAACCGTTTGGCGCTATTTGGTGACAATTGCCCAGACGAGTGAATTACGAAGCTTAAGAACACGTTAAGTACCAACCGTCACGAAACTAGTGATAATTTTCTCACCACAGAAGATTTGCAGTTACAGTGTTTCTTTAGGGGGTCGAGCTGCTGATCTTATGCTCGACCCTTATTCACTCAAGCAGTGAAGCAGCCTCCGAGGGATTCCAAAGGATATTTTTGTGTTACCACTTAAGATTATACAGAGTGATTGATTTTAGTACTAATATTCTACTTATTTTATAGCGATGATAGACTGTTCGCAATATATTTAAAACTCTGTGGCAATAATCACCAACTGGATGCCATTCAACTGACTAGTGTTGATCTACCACCTTTGTGTACAGCCTTGTCTCTCAAACCGTGTATTACAATGTTGGATTTACGTTATAACTTTATCAAAGATGATGGAGTTGAGATATTATGTGAATTTTTAAATGTAAGTTATAAGTTTGTTATTAAATATAATAATTTCAACTAATAAGTGTTAGTTTATGAATCCTTTAGTTGTTGGTGATTTAGACTTGCTCATTCCATCCTAAATACCAACATCGAGAAAATACAAACGGTTACATATGATAGATCATGCCCATTAAAAACGTCCATTGTTAACGCTACTTAACAACAGTCTTCTGATTTCCAATATACTAGGTTTCAGTGTCAGTAAGAACAACGCCATACATTTGACTAATCCCAAATATTGGACCAAATGAGTCAGTTAGATTTTACTGCTAGCCAGCATCCAAAACATATGATATATATTTTTCTTCTGGACTTGTAAGAAATCATAGCTTGTAGTGTTACAAATATATACTATATATATATATATATATATATATATATATATATATATAGTTCAAGGTTTTCTAATTGTAACAGCAGACTGAAATACTAACAATTAAACTTTTTTTTATCAACAAATCGTACTTTTATTCATCCATTTGATCTTACTTTCAAACAATTGAAGTAACAAAGTACAATTTGTACACTTTTGTTTGTTTCTGTCTTTATCCAGGTAGATAATCTGTTGGAAGAATTAAATCTAATGTGTAATGATATCACAGAGAAAGGTGCAGAAGTTCTTGCTAATTCTTTAAAAGTAATATAAATTCTAATGTAATTGATTTAAGTGGATATTTAACTTTTTGGTTGCTGACTTGAGTTGATGACATTGTTTTTTGTAACAAAATCATTATCTATTTGCTTTTTAATCAGAAAAAAAAAAGAACATTTTACGAAGTGTATAAGGATCCTTTAATTAGCATCAAAAAAACGTCCCTAACAAAGTTCTTTTCACATATAAACAGTATTCTGGGAATCAGAGCTATGAACACCTGTCTCTTACTAATTCGTTTTTATTTCATTGTTATGATTCAGGTTAGTAAAGCAGTCAATGCGTCTAACTTCAAGGATCTTATCCTATTAGTGCACTGTTTGAATGAACTTTCTTAAATCCAAATTTATAAAGGTCAGCTTTGTTTATCTCCATTTTTATATCGTTATTGTGATGATATGTATATGACTGACGTTGTTTTGTTTTTTTTTCTTAATCCATCAGAATAACAGAAATTTGGTTATCTTAAAAATGACTGGTAACCCGATTGGTTCTAAAGGAGGCCTGCACTTCGCTCATGCTCTACAAATGAACGATACACTTGAATTTCTAGATCTTGGGGAATGTGATCAGGTTAGCTGAATCAAAATAAATAAGTTTAAAAAAGCCTTGAAATCTGCACAATGGTAGCTTGTAGTAAAAAAATCATGACTTTGTGTTTGGATATAATAGAGAATTACACTTCACAACGAAATTCCACAAGTATTTAATACAAAAAATGGATGTTATGAAAAGAAACGTACTGGGTTGTGTCTCACCTGAAAGAAGAAAAAGTTGTAGGACGTGTTCCATGGGACAATGTAGGTGGTGTAATCAACCGAAACTGTACCATCGAAACAAAATAATTTTCAATTTTTCCTGTAGTTTCAGTTGTGTTAATGGATAGTTTCTCTATGATGATCTGTCTGATTATAACTGTTCAATCAATTAACCTGAGACGATATGCGTAATTGGAGTGTATATCTCTAACTCAGTATTTCATAAATTGACAATGAAATTGACATAGTTCTGAATAAAAGTCTGTTCAGTCACTTGTAAACTTCGGAACATATCTTTGAAATGAGTAGTAGATTAACTTGGTGATGATTTGTCAAATGGGTTATAGGAAAAATCATTGGTTGTACTTACTTAGATAAGCTACTTCAATTATTCAGGTAATGATCATAATTCTCTTTGACATAAACGTAGCATAAATGATTATCACTCGGTAATCTCATCAATTGTAATTATTGAGTCTGTCTAAAGAAACAGGTTTGAGGTGAATTATTTAGAGAAAACTAAGCTACAATTTTTATAGATGCTAAACATATTTGCATTTTTGATATGTCTTTGGATTTTTTTTTCATTTATTTGTTTGAAAAGGATATCATTAGTTGTATTGCATTTGCTACTGTATTGAAAAGTAACAAGTCAATTATTGGGATTAATTTCAACCGACAAATATTAAGGACATTACAAGAAGAAACAGTCGTACATTTTGCTGATATGCTATGTGTAAGATAATTTACAATAGACTATTTCTTAAATGTATTATAAGTTTCATGAATTTGCATAACCAATAATTTGTTAGACAATAATAATACATTTGCATTACTACATGGATATCAAGCAAAAAATTTCAAAGGCTATTGACATCAAGAATTGATTTTAGCTAGAGAACCACTGATCAGACAGACACATGCTTCCAGTTTAAGATTACTCAGTAGTACACACATTTCATTAAACACTCGTTTAGGAATTTTCACTAGAGTACATATTTATTTGGCTCAAGTTGAGATGTTGAAACTTGAATTACTCGAAAATAATTATTTCCTTGCAGATCAGGATTATTTTGATTGTCCTAAATAATGTACTTTTCTACCTCAGCTATAGCATATCTCATGGTTGAAGCGTTGTAAACAAACAGCCTTTTCAAATAGGCTTTGAAATTCACATACAAAGCTTAAGTATGCTACTGACTAACTTGTATCGATTTCTATCAAATAAAAATGGGCTAATATATATAAATATATATATATATATGTATATATATATATATATATATATCAAAGTCTCTCATTGACCTTTTGTTTCTTCAAAGAAGGTAGTAGTGCTTCATTTTAACTATTATAAAGTTTGACAATCAATCATACTATTCTATTAGAACCAATCGATACGAGTGAATTTTAAGCTTTAGCTATTTTTTTGACATAATATGCTAGCAGTGCTGATGAGTGATTTGTTTGCATCTAAGTTCAGATCATTCAAACAGTGATGGCGAGTTTTATTTCATAACGGGTACCAAGTTCATTCAATGTGGACTGAGGATAAACTCCACTGTTGATCTCCATTATGACCTCTTACTTGGCAACCATTCAGAATGAGACAGTAATTATTATTCTTACTACCATAGTCCAGGATGGCCGATATTTTTTATTCTGAGGTCTACTTCACTGGTTTATCAGTGTCACAGTAGTGTTTGGTGTTTCATTGTGATAGAATATCGTTATTTATGGATGACCCTTCAATACGTAATCAGACAGATATGAATTTATACGAGTAAGTTAGAAGTTTCAATATTTAAGTAACGTTTGAAAAACCTGATCAAATTCACTAGCTTGTCTTCATACTACTTTACATGTTGATTTCTTTCGCTGAAATGTTGATTGTTATAGTTTTGTTCTTATGAGACCCCCTTTTATCGATTTCTAATAGATTAATAAAACTTTAAGGGAATTACACTTAGCAAAATGTGATATGCGTGATTTCGGAGCAGCACGTTTAGCTCAGGCGATGGAACGTAACGATACACTGGAATTATTAGATGTAAGCGCGTAAGTAAGCTATTCTGTTATAACATTATCTAAAGACAAAACTATCTCATTTTAATTGCGGTTATTAGTATTTTGCTCGCTTACTATGAATGACTATGATAGTTAGTGATATAAATGTTTAAAATGGAAATAGCTTCATGTTAAAAGTAATAGGGAATTGACTGAAGGACTAAAATTACTAAAGATAATCTGAATAAACTCTTGTCAGTCAGTTGATTTACACAACTTTTTTCGTCCCATTTTCTTCGTCATTCTGATTACAATCTCTTTATATTTGATGATTGTTGTGAAATATCCTAGCGTCTTTCAGGAACAAGACAGCTATAAATCGTTACAAGATAGTTTTGACTATTTTTGAAGAAACTGTTCATGCGTACAATACCACTGATGGTAAAGTAATTTTATTACATTGAGATAAATAGTAAATTAGTATAATAAATGGTAGAAGTTTGACAGTCAAGCAGGATTTGTAGTTTTCCAACTGTGGTATGATTCAGAGTGCAAAGGTCATAACTCAAATAGTAGTCTGAAGAAAGCACTTTCTATCAACTCATCACCTCTTTTAAAAAGAGTTACTTTTAAATAAATTACTTTGGGTTGAGTGCTGTTCTGACTGGAAATTTTCTATGTAAATCAACAATAAGTATGACGATATTATTTTTACATTGAAGCCAAAAATCCAACTCAAAATCATTCGTAAAAATGGTTATGGAAAACGTCATAAGTTATTACATTTAATATACTACAATTTACTAACCTAATGAAATGTTTGATCCATGCTTTTGTTTAGAAACAAACAGCTCATTCGTTCAAACTCATCTCACTATATACAATACAATCATCAATGTGGTTTGGTTACAACTATAGTTAGAAGATAGGTTTCATTTCACTTGAAATCCTGCAATGATACAATTCTTTGTTCTACAGCGTTAATATTTCTGTTGCAACCTCACAACATAAATGATTTTACTCAATATAATATCATCCCCTATTTAAATACTGACTCATGACAAACACATTTTTTACTATGTGCATTAAATGTTCGCTTCGCATGTGAATTAGTCTCTTATTGATTCACTGAATCATAACTGTATGCCCCATGCTTGTACATGAACCTTTCTCTGTTAGTAAATGGACATGTTCAATGATAAGCATAGGTTTGTGTAAGAAATAAAATTACAATCTGTAATCATCTTTACAGCAACCGTATTGCACGCGATGGAGCTGTTTCTTTATCGAAAGTAATTGGCATCAATTGTCCATTGGTCATTTTGGATTTGGCATTCAACCGCGTTCAGTGTAAAGGAGCTGTGGCTTTGGCCAATGCATTAGTTTATAATACACATTTGAAAGTGTAAGCATTATGTTTTGTTTTTTTTCATTGAGATAAATTATTGAATTCATTATTTAAAAGTATATTTTAATTCATACGGAAAGGAACAGAAAGTTTGTCATTTTTTTTATCAAAAAAAAACAATTCATAATTTTACCGTAATATTATGTCACAGTGATTACAACATTTTACATGTAATATTCAAATGAATTATTCATGCAGTTTGAATGGGATTTAGATATGGATTATTCAATCTGATATGTCTAGACTTAATCCAAATAAAGTTTCAAAGCGAGAGAACGATGTTTTTGAAAAATCGTCTATTTGGCGCAATATTATGTGACGATAAACAATTTACGCAAAGTTGTACAAATTCACCCACCATACATCATTTATGCAATAACAGTCAGATCTAACCTTCGGTCTTATAACAATTTCAATGCTTTGTCACTTTGTTCTCATGATTTTGGCTTGTGACGATATGGAGTAAAATTTTCGTTTTTCACAAATATTGCCATTCATTCATTCATGTCTCGTATGATTGTAAACAAAACATAAACAAAAGCGTTTGTTGCATATGATAGATTCAATGGATCTTATTTGCATGCTCCTTACCTGTGGTTAATTCAGAATCCATAGATAAATATAAGCACACTTAGAAAGCAAGAATAATAATATTATTTGGAAAACGAACTCGGTCTATAGTCCTGATAAAAGGTTGACGGATCTGGTGATTATATTTGTTACTTTTTATGTCAAGTCGACCGAACTGTAATCATAGTTGATGATGGGCATTGGAAAGGAGTAATCAATATTACTATCTGAATATCAAGTATAAGTTGTATAATTATTGTGATCGCTGATATTCTCCTAAGAGCAAATGTATATTCTCCAATATTGATTCTAAATAGGTTTGTTATACCTCTCCCGTGTTTCGTCCTGTCATTCGCATACAAAAGAATTAGTATTTCTGTTCAAGCTTGTGTAATCTAAACGGTTCACAACATGTTCAATAAACCGTATAGTTTATGTACCTTTCCTTATGTTACTGATCATCGTGACCTGTTACAAGAAGTTAATTTGCTTCTGCAGATGCATTAATGAATGTTATTTAACAGCCTTTCTAAGCAGAATAAGAATTAAGCCATTTTATTTACCTCAAAATGTTTACTACTTACGAGTAGACTACATACACCATGCTTAATTTCTGTTAAACGGTAGGTTCTTATTCCGATGTTCAGTAGTACGAAATTAGACAAAAGATTTAGATGCCTTTTTCGCTACACTGACATTTAAACAGTTCATGCTGATTATAAAATTAGTAAAATCTTGATATAAGTAGAGATGGATGGTGGCTAGCAGTGAAATTCAAGACGTGCGTTTTGTCCTATTAGGCCCCATTGAGCTGGACATGCCCTCATCCCAGTGCATATTTTCACTATGGCAATCAAATAAGTATTCTTCAATTCAAACGCAAAACGTGTTATTCACTGGGCAACTCCGTTCACTGAATTGTGTGATAGGAGTTGATCCAATGTTTTATTTGTAACCCTAACGTCTGAATTTTGAAGAAAAGATACTTGGTCCGAGTCCCGGATTGAACTTCAGCTTTGGATGTAAGTAAATCCAGCTGATTAGTCCCACGCAGAACTAAATGAGTATTCTCAATTCCGCTGGTATCCACCATCCATCTCTGCTTAATATTCCTTGTGACTTAGTGCCGATATTGAGGCAATCCGCATAGAGTGTACCACGCCAAAAAAGACTGATTGATCGCAATCCTCAGCAGTGATGAAAAGATTCTAAAAACCAATACATATAAATCATGAAGTGAGTTCCTAACACTATTTCATAAATTACATTTCCTCAATCAAGTCTACAATTGTCTAGCATTCTAGCTCCTATATTACAGATATTTCTTATGGATGATGATCTATTCTTTCGAAAGTAAAAGACCATATAGACTGTATAAGACATTCGAATTAGTGAATCCTTCATCTCACTCCTAATAATGTACATTTTCCGGAAAAAAAAATACGATAAGTGCATTCCTTTTCTGTATGTTATTTATTTTCAATTATAATACCATTTTACTAATCCGCATATATTAATAGTGTGGCTCAAAGCTCAGTAATCGAAAGTTTAGTTAGTTGATAAGTTTCACTAACGCTTTTTACACATTACTATGTTACCTGATTTAAATAATCACATTCGCAGCAGACAATATCATTGTTGATACTTCTCTATAAAATCTTTGTTTCTTTTTTGTGAACTATAAGTCTTGCAGTACAGTTTTGTGAATTGAAAGGACCTGGACTTTGTGCACTGGCTGAATCATTGGTCACAAATCTTACTCTGGAGTGTATTTATATCTGGGGTAATGAACATGAAGAATCCGCATGCAATGTAAGTAATGTAGTTAATTGTGAATATACAGTGAAAATGCATGAACTGAACGAAAAATATTCTTTTCTGTAAAATCTCAACAGTTTCTACAATTGTTAATCCAAATTAATTTTCCAAACGAACAGCCAAGTTTAAAACAAATACATCTCTTAAGATTTTAACAAATAAGTTCAGGTTTGTCAGTAAAATAAAATCGAATTGCTGATGTTGAATTTCCTATTGTGTATTGCTAACTTGAATAAGTTGGTGCGTCAATTGGAATTGTGAGAATCACAATCAGATTAAATAAAAATTGTTGAGAGACACAATTATGTAATTATTACACAATACAATTAAGTGTTTGGTCGAAGACTAAATAATGTATGAAAAAGTAAAATGATATTTACAAGATTAATAGTAATGACAGTAGTAACAATGACAACAGTAATAAGAATAATAATAGTCATTGAAAGACGAGTGAATGTCCAAGATAATTTTATTTGAATAAGATAAGTTAAACTTAAGTAAATTCAAGCAGGATGACTATGTGTACATTGAATCATCTTATAAACAAGATGAACATTCATTTAATGGGTCTGAAGTTGGGCATAATTGGAAGCACCAGTCTTTTAACCTCCTTGGCTACTGCTTCTCTTGTTTGAAGGACCTTAATCATGACGGATTTTTGCAGAAAATTACTAATCCGATAAACTGTTGAGAACGATTTACTTACACTAAACTCGTAAACAGTTTGAACTAGATAAGTGAGTATTAAGCTGTTGACTATTTTAACTACATATGTGCCTAAACAATCTGGCAAGTATTCAAGAGCACTGAAAAGTAAGTTATACACAAATCGTGCGAATAATTTTAAATGCAACACAAAATGGGATCTAGTTTATTTTAAATCCTGCTGAACTTAATTTATTGCAAACCTGTAACTTTCCAGTGTTAGAAGTTCGTTCCAAAGTATGTTAGCATTATATTTAGTCATTTAATGTTAGAAATTCGATTTTTCTGCCCACTAAGATATTACAAACATCATATTATTATACTAAACTTTGTGTTCAGTATGACGTGCACAAGAATATTCAGGTGAAGTGTTTGGTTTATTAATTATCATCACAAACTAATACCACCTGGTGAACTAATAAATATCATGGAAAACTGGACATTTATTTGATTGGAAATTCTTGGTAGTAGCTATCGACAATCCCATGGTGGAAATAATCCCAATACTTTTAGATCTCACGCAACCTCAATATCTTTGAAATATTAAATAAAAATTTCGTAGTTTACTATTTGCTTTCCAAAATACAGATGATTTTACTCTCTAGCAATTTTTAAGAATCTAAATGATTTTTTATCAGAATAAAAATTGCCTTCAATAATACGAACATCATTAGTAACCACTTCAGTGGATACTTAACCTGTTGTAACCATTTTTTCTGTAAAAAAAATACTCAAGTATCATGAATTTATTTCTTATTTTACCATTTTTTTGTTTTAAATCTTCATTAGGCATTCGCTCATTTAATCAACATAAATCGTTTACCGGAAAATTGTACTGATATAAGACCTTATATTGTTGATGGCACAACTTACTTAGCTTTCGTACCTCATGATTGTACTTATAGACAATATCGATTTTCTGTACCGTGGTGGAAATTCCAAGCACCATGTGATCGATCGATTGCACTTTTTTAACTTTATTTTTTTGAAATCCTATCTCTTTTTTTAAAAAAAAATTTGTTATATTTCTTCACAATTTTATTTTTATTGTCATTCTTTTTTTTTGGCTTGTTTTTTTCTTGTCAATCTTAGAATTAAGTAACCAATTAATTAATGCGCCTTTGATGATTCTGAATTGTTTTAATAGAATTATTTTTGACAAATTAATTATTATTAACTATTTTGTTTTTTTATTTCACTGCAATTTCGTTTCGATTATTTTTGCACGACAGACGATTTTACTTACCTTCATTTATCCTATTCGAAATTGCCGCTTATTTGTCTACAGAATAAATTAGATTATACAGTCGATTATATATTTAATATATTTATAAAACATAATTAGATGTATCGTTCTCTTTGAATTGCGCGGGTGGTTGTATTCAATTAGTCACTGCTATTATTTGCGACCTTGTACAAAGTATCAGTTGTATTTGTTAGAAGAAATTCATCTTGATCAAAGTTTCAGCTGCATCTGTAACTAGAAAAGTATATTTGACAGATTTTATAAACTTGCAAGAACCTGTCTGTTTTGTATACTAACTGCAAAATTCTTAGGATAAAAAATGTAATAAATTTCCACAATAAGACTATAATACTTCATAATGTGTACAAAAAAATTATGTCCTATTTTTGAACGGTTAATAGGTTGTATATTATTTATAGCATATTGAATGAAGGTACAAAGTGTATTTTCCACCTTATTTAATTATGAATACGGTAACTTTCTTTGCTATCAGATTCAAAAGTTTCTAGAAGCGTTTTCCATGTAGTCGCATCATGCCTGAGGGAAAGCAGACGATTGAACGAATCGAATATTCATTCTGTACTGCCCGTCCCAAGTTCATATTTTTTAACTATTATGATCTTTTTTTGGTAGAAAGGATCATGTAGGATGTTAGAACCATAACTTCATTCTTGGCTGATACTTGTCGATTTATCCTCTCCGTAGAGTTCAAACCTATCTTGTGAAGCAGCCAAAATCGGTAAACAAATGAACCTCTAAAGTAATTGTTCCTTGACAGCTACAGGAAACCTTAAACTTTTTATAAAGTAAAACATACAAAACTTCATAGTTTCATTATTCAACCATAAATCCTCAAAACGTCACTGTCAGATATTCAACAGATATAGAATTGACTAACTACTAAATTAATGCTATGTTGGTGTTAATTAAGATACGACTAGAAATCGGCGAAAGTAATGTAAACCAGTGACACAACGACTGGACAGCTTATCTATTCTCTGCGCCATAGCCTAACTAGCTAGAGCAAGAAGTCCAAGGTCAGAAGCAGGATTATATTACACGCAAGCAGTCACGTGCGAACGAATTAACAAGCATTCATTTCAAGTGTTATTTATACAATACAAAATGTGTTCTTCAAAGAGTTACAAAACAGAACACTCAAAGAGAAAACTAACCAATGAAGTTCAAGGTCCTACCAAGTAGGAAACACAAACTGAAGGTAATACTGGACGCTTTTGACAAAAAAAAAATAAATTTGAATTTCCAAATACAAGGTACAAAATTAAGAGATTTGGCGGGCGATTATGGATAATTATTATTTGTGCAAAGGTTGATGACAAATTTCATAATGTTAAATTTATCACATCATCCATAGACAAATATGACAGTAAGAAGAAATTGTAATTAAATTTCTCTTATAAAAAAATACAAACAAGTCTTCTTTCTGAGATCACAAACCTATCTACGTTAAATAATCACTGAAAACACTGAACGATAACTTCATCCTAATGTATCACTCTTCTTTGGAGCGCATCAATGTCGGCGCGAATGAAAGCCGAAATTAGGGCCTGGTTCGAGTGCTAAAGCTTATTATTATTCAATACAACTGTATACTTTGATGTCATTTACATTCTAAACAAACAACAAAGCGACTACAAATGTCAAATGATTTTGTAATATGATTAATGATCATTGTGAATGTTTTTGACTATTTTATCTTTCTTAATAGATTCCATCATCATTTCATGCTGGTTAATTGAATCTAATAAACACATTAGTCCATTATAAATGTTGATGACATGTTCTTTGAAATAAATAATTACCTAAAGCAAGTTGAATAGTAACAATGTGAAAATCCAACATTAGTTAATTGCCTGAAATTTGCGATACAACAGTGACATTTTTAATCACTTTATGATTGTTTTCTTCAGTTCAAGTGATGTGAGATAATGAATGTAACGATTTTCAAAGTGTTCCATGTATGAGAGCAGGTATTCTCAATATAAGTAGTCTTTGTTCTAGTTTACTGATGAATGTATGGTCGTTTGATAACAACTGAATATTACAGGTATAAAGTGATAGGAAATTGAGTCAGGTATTTTTCGTTACACAATTCTTAATGTTGAAATTGACTGCCCATGTGTTTGTTTCCTCCAACACCTTTCATTTACTAGCAATATATATGACTGATAGGTATGTTTGTCTGTCTGTAGAGTAAGAAAACTAATTTTCTGAAAATCCAAGCAGATAGATAAATTCGGGAAACAACAAGAACGGTACAATGGTTGCAAAAAGCTATTACACTATGAATCCAAATATAGTTTGAATAGTAATGTAAAACATTCAGTCATGGAACTTCTAGTTATGAAATTGACAGAGTAAACAAAAGAACCATGATGTGTATATAGCAATGGGTTTTTTGTACATTATACCGCGGCTGATTCAAATGTAAAATACGGTACATTTGATTTTGCTCACAGAATTCTCCTTGAATTCAGTACTTTCTCATACGTGACTACTAGAGTACAAGTTGAATGTGTCTGGGTATTACTATCAACATCCTCACATTCTATGTGTCTTTTTGTTTCAGAAGTAATGTCGTAGTTATGAACTCAATTGTATCCATAGCATATGTACATAAATGAAAAGTTAAATAAATCACAAAATTACAACCTAAGGATCATTTTCTGAATCCAAAGTCAAGAGTATTCTAGATGATCACAACTGTTAAATCAAACTGACATAAAGCATGATATAATTTAAGGTGTATCATGGATTTGATAATTACAAATTTTATTCGCTGAACAGTTTTGAATTAATTTCACTAATTTACTGGCTTTCTGTAAACGTTACTAAAATAAGACCAAGTCTCAGGATCCACTTTTATACATTTTGTTATTTATGAGCAACATTTTCCAATATCAAAACCCTAATAATTTAACATTTATGCATAACACTTGACATAAACTGCTTGGTTTACACTCCATCAAAGTGCTTTATAAACCATACAGACATCTATTTTGCTTGAAATTTGGTTTCTTAGTACAAAATTCGTCAAGTATCAAAACGATAAAAAGAAAGTGTTATAAACTGTAAACTTATATTTACGGTGCAATCGAGATTTCACGTTTCGAGGCCTGATTTTGATGTGTTTTTTCATTGACATAATACATAGATTGTGTCATATAACTACACAAATGAATATTTGGAGTTAGTTCGTCTAAAATGCTAATAACAGAATTATACTACTTATAAGTAAACGAAGTTGTAATCAAACATTATATCGTACATTATGATGCAAGTGACTTTTCACGAAGTTAATATTTTTTCAAATTCGTTACACCAGTTTCACAATTAAAATGATGCTATTATCAAATCCATCAACACTTTTATTAGTATTTTAAAATAAAGGAAACTTCCTTACCATCTTTATGATGGTAACCTTCCTAAGCCCGTAATGTTTCGACTAAAAAGCAGCATCATAACTAAAATGTCATAATATAAAGGACATTTGTTTACTGCTTACTAAACTTATATGAATGTTCTTATCAAACATTTAAATTACAGCTTATAAATGTAAGCTAGTTTAACTTTCTTTTTTCAATATCCTGAGATTACGTCAATAATTGTACTGTTAATTATAACATGTACAAAATATTTAAGCGAATGTATGTTAAACGGCAACAGTTCTTAAATAACCCTGATAAAATAATTATGAGTTCATGAGGAAGATGTTAATATGTTTCAATAATGACTGACTAAGTATTTCAAAGCTTCATGTGTATACTAAAATACTTTTCTCCTGTGATATATTTTCATGACAAAGTATTACAATTATCTCCAAGTTATTTTCCTTTAGTTTTTCCAACTATTATTGTCAGTAATTTATTCGGTCCTCTGGGGATCGACAAGTTTTACGAGATAATATATATATATATATATATATATATATATATATATATATATATATATGATTGAAGAGAGGGAACATATAAACAGGTGACTCTGTCGTTTTTACAAGTTTGCTGAAAAGAAACTGAATCAGGATAGAAAATAGGTTAAATAAACTGTCTGACTAAAATCAACATGATTTTCAGACTAGGTAACGAAATGTCATTTTTGACTAAAATACCTAGACGTTGTCAGTAACATATTGTGGATAATCAGTAAAGTTGAGAAAATCGAAATCTAATCACAAGTGTGTAAGTTTAGAGCACCCGCTCAGATGTCACCTCAAGATGTTTCATTTTCAAATATATATGTAATACTGATAATAAAGGTGTTTATTACTTTTAGGTTTGACGTGACGTTTCTTCGTAAATACCTGTGTCTTTGCTTATGTTGTTAGGAATACTGTTGTTAAGTTCTTGAACTAATCTGCAGTTGAAATCACCCATGACTGGTAGTGGATATTTCAGTGTTTTCAGGTGTTCTAGTGTCTGTCGTAGTTTAAGATAGACTAACTCTTTTTGTTGTCATCGATAGAAATACTCAACCAGGGAATAACATCCTACTAGGCTAAAGGTTTATCTAGTGTTTCCACTGTAAATTTGGACATAAAGTTTATAACACGTGATTCAGCATTTACCAGATATCTGTGAGAAGGTTCTAGTCAATGCTGATCGGAAGAAACGTTTCCTGGCGTTCCGAGACTCTATAGGCTTTCTATTATACTTGGTATGCTTGAAACTATTACGGGTTCACCTTAGTCGATAGACGAGAACGAGACAATAGACCAGTATCCAGGTAGGCTTCTCTGATCCGTTGACTAAAAAGAACTAACGAAAAGTCTTGATATATCGTAGAAAGTATATTCTACAACACCCAGCAAGCACAATGAATTCAAGCACACATCGAGTTTCTTTATACATCATAGAAACATCCTTGGAAGAGTCACAAAAATGACACACTAAAATAACACAGTAACCAATCACAGCCAAGGATTTTGCTGGTGGGAAATGCGATCTCATGGTCAACTGATTAGTCCATGCTCGGAAACACAAAATACAAAATTAAGACATTTATCAAGCGAGTTCTGGGGATCTAACGTCCCCAACACTTTTCTGAGGGATATTTCG